AAAGCCGCAGCGGCGCCTCGCCGAACCCCCCGCTCAACGACCGCGAGGACGACAACAACGGCGAAAGGGCCGGCGTGGAGGCCTCGGAGGGGGCGGGGGATTCGCTCGCCCGGGCGCCCGCGAAGGAATCGCCCAGGCCGCCTTCGTCGGGGTCGTGGGGCCATCCCAGGCAGAGCTCCGCATCGGGGCGAAAGCCGCGCTGGCGACACTCCTCGAGAAGCCGCCACGCCCAGTCGTCCGCGGGGGCAAAGACCGCCCGATCGTCGGCGTAATCCACCGCCTCGCAGGACGCCGAACGCGAGGGCGGCGTGCCGGACTCCACCATCTATCCCGGTCCTGGGCTTCGGAAAGTCGCTCGAGAAATCGGTATGGGGGGTTGGAAAAAATTATAAAAACCACTGCCGCCGTGTTGATAAAAGACTACTGCTAACTTTACAATGTGAGATGAAAAAAAATCACAAATATTTTGGAAGAACTTTGGCACGGAAAAAAAAAAGTAGATGCACTTTATACACAAAATGGTGGTACACACATAGACGTATAATTCTGGTGTTTTTATGCAGCACCAATAGATCCCCCTATATTGAGTCCGGGAAGTTCGGTTAGCTCCCCATAAATATGCATATATATATATATATATGCCGTACAGTGGTGAATTCCTTTTAATAGTAATTAAAACCCTTGCTAGTACAATAAGGTCAAGAGAGGGTACTGGTCAGAAAGCGAGCATGACACCTTGCGCGAGGAAGAGTCCGTCAACTCGCCGCTCGATTCCCCTTCGACCTCAGTCTTCCCCTCCGCAGAAGCGAGTGTCTTGGTGGGGTTGTTCGAGGCGTCTAATCCCTCCCCTTTCATTTCCGTCGCGCACGAATCCTTCCGCGTTTGTGGAAAGCGACCTCGACGAAAAGAATGAGAAGGGGGGGAGGGGTGTTTGGTGGCATGCCACGCCGCCTCAAACGGCCCGATCGCCACCTCCACAAGTGGCCGCAGCACCACCACCCGGCAACGCCGCCCGCGGGGAAACACACGAAAACGACGATTCCCCCACGCTTGCGAACGCAGAAAACACCGCTGAAACCTCCCCGCGATCTCCGGCACGCCGAGGGTGGAGAAGGACTCCCCTCCCCGCCCTTGCCGGAAGTCCACCTCCTGCTGAAGCCCCACCCAGCGATCGGTCTCCTCCCACGACGTCGAGACGGACGAATGAAAAGGAAACGACGGCGCGCGTGGGAGCTCCCAGGCGCCATCCTTGGAATACCGCGAGGAGAGTGGAATGGGCACCCCCACCCTCGCATCCGTCGAGGTCATAATAGTGGAAGCATCGTCAGGGTGGGCTTCCCCAGTTTTACCCCGACACGCTTTTCCCGCGGTCGGGACGAAGTAGTAGTAATTCGTCTCGTGATCGCGCCAGTGAGAGGATAAGGTGTTCGTCGTGCGCGCCTCCGTCGGGGGCGCCCCGGCCACCTCCCACGCGTCCTCGTAGCCCTTTAACCTCTCGGAGTTCGCCATGAAAACGTTCCCGACGAGAAGATCCGGCCGCGCGGCGCGCGTGATGAAGTCAAGGGCGATCGCACGATGTGCATCAAGCTGCCCGGCCGCGCGGAGCTTCCCTTTCCGTTTCGCTTCTTTGCCTTTCCCCTTTTCCCCTTTTTCCCCTTTTTCCCCTTCGATTTCTTTCTCCACGGCGTGTGTTAAGGTGAACGCGCTCCCGTCCGCACTCACCGCGGCGCTCGTGAGCATGCGGCCCCCCACCGCGAGGCTCTTCCCGCGGTAAGATAAATCCACATTCGTAAGAACGCAAACAACATTGTCGACAAAAAGCTCAACCGTCAGCCCGGGGGCTGCCGGCATCAAACGAGCCCCCCACGGCGAGGACGCCCGCACGAAAACCTGCAGCTCGCCGTTCTGGCCATTCAGCGCGGTCCCCACGAGCACGTACCGCTCCGCCGCGGCCTTCTCAAAACGAAAAGGCCCCTCCTTCTCAGGTGCTGTTACAGAAGAGGCAA